GTCATGAACATGTATATAGTAAAACGATGGCATTGAAAAATGACACTGAATGATTACAATATTTAATCCAAATAAATGTTCGTGTTTCGTACTGATGTTATTCATCTGTTCTCACCAACGTAGACGAACACTGACACCCTGTGGTGAAATAATGGCGTTTTTTTACTGCCGCAGCTTTCTTGGATTGGCTTGGTTTGGATTTAAACTTCATTTTCCGATGAGTTTTGAATAACATCAGAATATCCCTTCTTCTGTCAATAAATTTTCCAAAATATAAAACTTTATTAGTTACAGACACTCATTTTAGGTGGTGTTTGTTCAACTCATTGACGGTTGACCGCAGCACATTGAACGTAAACATAACCGGAAGTAAGTGATATGTATTGTTTCCAAACGGAAGTGCGTCGCGAAGCTCAGTGCAAGTAGTCCATTCATTTCATAGACTCAGAGTCGACTCTCACTTTTGAAAGACAATAACTTTATATACGGTGCACTTTCAGATATAAATCTTTGCAGGATGTTTTCATTCTCTTAGAGCTATATTCCACACCACACAAACAAAAGGGTCTCTTTAAAAATTATTAAAAAATTATGGCTCCAGTCCAGTAGAGGTCCTCGTAGCCGAAATAGCTCAGTTGGGAGAGCGTTAGACTGAAGATCTAAAGGTCCCTGGTTCGATCCCGGGTTTCGGCATTTTGATTCTTAAAAGATCATTTTTTTTCTTCGTTATCCTACAAACTCTTATGTAGTGTTTTTATATATTTCCACAAAGCCAACACAAGGCAACTATGCATTCATTGATGGAAAGGGAAAATTAGCCATATAATCACCATGTCATGAAATACTCACTAGGCCAAGCAAGACAGAATTAAAAAAATATATAAGTTCTTATAAAGACCAGATCAAGCTTCGTTTTTAGAGATCAGAGACAAACACTGTTTGGTGAAGTGACTTTCATTTTAAATACAAAATGCACATATTCAAAGAAAATTCAATTGTAAAATTATAAAAAGCTGTACCCCTTATTTTAGGCACCCGCTCTCATTGAGTGTGGCTCTTGAAAAGTGACAGTGATATGAGCAGAATTGGATCAGCTTATTAGAACATAAAGAAAGTTACCTGAGCAGAGAGAATCGATATAGTGCAACAGAGATAAATATGACACAACCCTGTTGGAGCAGTATTATGAGCATTTAATCAACATCATATTTTCATTAACGTAATGAATATGACACATTACACTTCAAGCTTTTTCAATTTTCTTCAATGAGTGAATCACTGTAATATAAAATTACATTAAAACATATCTCAACGTATTGTATATGTTATGAAGAACTGTACAGAAGTTCAGTTCTTTTTCATTTTCCTTCTATATTCTACTGGTCTAGCTTCTTTTAGACTTCCCTTTTTGTGCTGCTTTATCAAACATGGATTGACAGGTAGACAGCTGACACCACGAGTCTGCTATAAGAATGAGAGGGATGACAATCCACAAAATATTCATAAATACAAAGTAGAACCAGAAATAGATGGGGTGACCATATTCGCTGTGAATATATCCATCTCTGTGTTCGGTGAAGAAGTAGAGGACTGCACCATACAGCTGACCTGCAAGTAATGTTGGACATAGACTTAATTGTTCCCTCTAAAATATATTGTTTCTCAAGTTGACAAGATGTGTATTAAATAACAATATCAGAAATATTTACATCTCCATATGCAGTAGGATGACACATGTCTTACCTAGAGATACGATGAGCTGCAGGACAAATCTATAAGAACTGTTATAAAGGAAGGCCAGAACAATCCATATGCTGAAAGGACCCCACAGGCACGCGGTCACTGTCTCCATACTAACAGTGAAATTATCTGCTCTGAAAAGAAGATCCCATAAAGACGTTCAGCTATAATGCAATCTATAGACTCATTAACCTACAAACGTGAGTAACTTACATTGCATATCTGCTGTCTCCTTTGGAATATTCTTTCCCTATATAGGATGAAAAAACAAGTTTGGTATTTAAACATATAAATAATGTGAGTGGGAGACTGCAAACTGGATCCAATATATATATATATATGCTGTGGTAAATTTGATGTAGAATTACTTTTTGTTAATTTACAATAAAACTATCACATTTAATGTATAAAATGCAACATATCCATAATTATAAATTCAATAATTACGATAGAATACATAATGATTCAATTTGCAGCACTTCTATAATTTAAATAAAGATTTAAAAAAAAAAAACAATTGTAGTAAGGATACATCGCCATCTTATGGAAGCTTGTTTCCACCACCACCACCACAAAAAAAAGTAATTGCAATGTTTTATCTCGCAATAAAAGTCAGAATTGCGAGATATAAAATTTGACTCAACTCACAATTGTGAGAAAAGTCAAATTTTATATCTCGCAATTTTGACAATTCTGACTCACAATTGTAAGATAAGAAGTCAGAATTGCGAGTTTATATCTTCCAATTACCTGTTTTGTTTTTTATTCAGTGGCCGAAACAAGCTTTATACCATCTTGCTCCGACCAACACCTAACATCGTAATTATTTCACCTTTACGAGCTATCGAAAAAAAAAATAGGTGGACGTTAAACATGGGGGAGGGGAGAAAGATTGATGCTGTGACTGCTATTCTTTAGCTGCATTAACTTGTCTTGACGTTAAAATAGTGCATATATATATATATATATATGAATGAATGAATGAATAATCATCTGAAGCATATTGTATGTTTTATGCACACTATCTAGAAAACGTACTGAATGTTAGTACAGCTGTCAACAAATGGGATGCTACATTTTATTAAGAATTAAATATCTTCAACAAAATGCTGGCTTTAATAAGATTTCCCCAACAAATAGTCAAGAATAAACCTGGTGTCCTCCATGATTCCTAATCTTTCTGACATCAGGGCACTTGAACATGACGAGCTTGTGGGAAGTAGGACTTTTCCGATAGCATGTAAAGACAGCATTAGGACTTCACAACTCGTAAATATGAACTTCCCAGGATGGGATTTGAACTCAACTCATGTTCACAATTCTTAGACTGTGCATGACAAATGTTGGTCTTTGTAATGATAATGTTCATGGGACATTAAGGGAGAAAAGTAAGGATTATCTCAAAACATACTAATGAAAAACCAATTCAAATAGACTTTGAACCTCACTCACACAGCTGAGAAAGGAAACTCTGGTCTCCAGGAATGATAGTGTAGTATAAAGAGAACCATCCCTCGATGACCCCGTGGATGAAGCCGCACACAGTGAACCAGCACAGAGCTAACCTTCTCCCTCCGCTAAGCCTGCTCCCAGAAACCTTACGCCCAGTCAATGACCAGGTGGCAAGCAGCAGAATCCCAGACACAGAGAACAGGAATATGAGAATCTCTGACATTGAACGGTCATTAGCCACATAGTTGGGAATGGACAGGTTACGTGGCCAATAGGGATGATTTATAGTTTCTGCTTCCTTCAACATCTGGAAAGGAGACAAAATGTATAAATACATCATAAAAATTAACTAATCTAAAGGTACAGGTTTGCACCAGAAATCGTGGCAATAACATAATACAATCGATTTGGCTTGATACGCCTGTACTTACTTTGTGATGAGTTGTGGAAAATCCTAGAAATGTGATTATTTCCCGCGTTTGAAAATTTGCTCTTTAGTTTATATATAACTCTCCTCTTGGAGCTCGAGAACACGGAAATGACCGTGTTAATATCTGCTTTATGGAACTACATAATCAAATTGCAGAAACATCGCGCCACCAAGTCTCATCCTACTGTAAGCCCACGTGATTCTCGCTACCAAATCACCATTAGCCTCTGTGAGAGGAACAACCCCTCGTGATATTTAAAAGCCTTGTAGTTGGACGATCTCCTCGGAACATGCATGTCGTCACTCGTGACATCTGACTGCGAATAGTTTATGGTCTTAAAGTGCACATTTCGTGAATTAATACGTTTTGTCTTTTTCTATTTATTTTTTTTAACAAAATTTTAAGTAAAATAAGGCATGACAAAATGAAACCAACAATAAAGGGAAAAAAATCACACTCCTAAGCCGTGATAGGGACATATCCCTGCCGTGACCCGGATTCGAACCGGGGTTGCTGCGGCCACAACGCAGAGTACTAACCACTATACGATCACGGCGAGCTACCGGAGGTGGTGAATGTGTGTAGAGGAATAGGGGTTCAATACTTTTGCATTTTGTTTTTTCAGTTTTCTATGTAAGTTGTTCAGAGTTTTTATTTTGGCGAGACACGAGAACACTATCTTTTTTGTCAACTATAATTTTTAGTACTAACTCAACAATTTACCATCATACAACAACGCAGCATGTTTGCATATTTAGAGTGGCTTGTAAAAGTAATGTGAAAGTCTGCCAACGAGCTTTGTCTAATCAGTGACTTTTGTCTAATCAGTGACTTGACAACGCTGGATACGAAATTGAACGTTTGAACACGAATGTCGGCAACTACGACAAATACATACTTCGTTTAGAAGCTTAGTTAGGATGTTAGTTTAAATTCTGTGCTTTCGAAGCTGTATATAGCTCCCATATGGTCTAGCGGTTAGGATTCCTGGTTTTCACCCAGGCGGCCCGGGTTCGACTCCCGGTATGGGAAGTAATGTTTTTTATTTATTTGTTTTTACCGTGAATATCGTAAGCACGACTACCATAAACAAAACACAAAACGAGATATTATTTTCAAGCAAGATTTTCAGCAAATTCAGTAAATATCTAATATTACATATTTATTACAACTCAATCATGTGAGTAATATTATGTGTAAATTATATACGTGCTTGATTTCATCAGGAAGCACAAACAGATAATATAAAATTGTGCAAAGTTTATATGGTATTTATTCTCCAGGTATTCACCATGGTATTCACAGATATCAATCACACTAATTTACGCAATTTCACTTTAACAAATCCCAAATCGAACTGATGTCATGTGACTTCTTGTCACATGACCGGTAAAGGTTCTAAACATCTCTCTGATCGCGTGTAACAGGAATACATCTCCGATTCTTTATTAAGTCGTTTGTTTTCTACCGTCTGTGTAGTCGAATAAAACGACAGAAATGCATGCTGATCAACATCTTCGTTTGGACGAGCAGTTGTTGCTTTTCATGGACCAGCTCGAGACTCTTGAGGAAAAGCGACATAAACTCAATTCCCTTATAGAAGAGGTGAAACGTGCAATTACACTTGATTACAAATTTAATGGATGGAATCAAATTGCGTGTTGTACACAAAACATTTTCATATGTATTTATTCTGAATATAATTCCTTCAATTTTGTTACACAGGGATGGTTTTCTATTGCCAAGACACGCTATTCAATGGGAAATAAGCAAGTATCCGCTCTGCAGTACGCTAGTGAGATGGAGCCGCTTGTTCACGTTGAAGTCAAGTCCGTATGTCTTCATATGCATTTAAATAATCGCTTGTGCATAAGCCTTAACTACATATATATATCCATGTGCTTGCCTTAATAACAGCTTGTTGGAAGGTGGAACAACTGAGTTCAAATGTGAAAGAAAGAAAAAAAGAGAAGAAGCGAAAAATAACACAGTAGAAGACATTGGTGCTAAAGACACGGGTAGGCATGACTTGCTGACTTGTAAATATGGGGTTAGTTCACCCCAAAATGAAAAATCTGTAATTAATTACACCCTCATGTCATTCCCCATAAGACTTTTGTTCATTTTTGAAACACAAATTAATTAAAAAAAAAAAAAATGAAATCTGAGCAATTTCTGTCACTCCATAAACGACTACGCAACTGACACTTTGACCCTTCAAAAATCTCATATAAAGATTGTAAAACTAATCCATAAGAAATGGGTAGTTTAAAATTTTGTGAAGAGACATGATCGCTTTATATGCTAAACAGGCTGAATTTAGGCTTTTATTCACATATTAGGGCTGGGTATTGACACAAATTTCACAATTTGATTCGATTTCGATTCAGAAGCCTGCAATTAGATTCTGATTCGATTCAATATTGATTCAATTTGATATCAAGTACAATACATGACAAATGTTCTCAAGAAAAACAAATCTCTTAACTAATGCTATGGGAGTCAGTTGTAGACTATAATTCATTAGCCTATAAAATTGAAGCTAAAAATCAACTGATTTGCCAACAAACACTTAAATTATATTTATTTATTTTTATAATAAGACAGTTTTATGAAATTTGAATATTTAAATGGTGACTGTCATAAAAAAAACTTGGCAGATTTATTCAAACATGCATTAAATATTGAAGGACATTAAAAATTTAAATGAATATGTAATATGGTGCATATGTTAAGTACATTTTTCTAGCTGATTAACAAGTTTATGGTCACTAGATATGTTTTTTCTGAGGTAAATGTGAAGTTACAGGACATTGTTTACAGACTGTTTTACTGACGTCATTCCACAGTTGAAACACGGATTGAGCGATTCCATGTGACATGATACGGATTTCGATAAGTTATACTCTATCTTTTAACACACTTTCAGATGCTCATTCATGTTTATTTCGTGCTGGTATTTATTAAGGCGGAAGAGAAGATCATGTGCATGCGCTGCTGCTTCTCATGAGCTGCACTGCGCCAGAGCTATCTTATTCCACAGCACCAACAGTATTTATGTTTTTGAATTTCGTAAGAAATGTAATAAATAAAAAAGTAATTTGAAATCTGAGACTTTGTTTCTTATCAATAGTAACAATGTTTAAGGCGCTACAATGTTCAATTCATTCATCAACTGAAAACAGGATGACTAGCCTAATCGATTCTTTGGATTTAAAAAATGATATCGGATCATAAAAATGAGAATTGAGGAGTCAATATTTATTATCCAGCCCTATCACATATAGCTAAACATTCTTCAACTCTCACATTAGTTGTAGAAATGGAAGCTCAAGCATGTTTACTTAGTGTGCGAGAACCAATGAGGTTCATCCTCCTGTTATGCAGCACGTTTGAGCTTCCGTAAGAACCAATGAGTTTCATTCTCGTGTGTCATGCAGAGGTTTGTTCTCGTGCGACAAGCAGGTTCGGTTGAGCTTTTGTTTATGTTCGCTGATCGATGTTTATATGTGGGGGGAAAAAGCCTAAATTCTATCTGTTCTCATAGAAAATGATTGTCTTTCAGAAAATGTAACTAAACCACTCATATTCATATGGATTAGTTTTACGATCTCTTTATGAGCTATTTGAAGTGTCAATGTGGCAGTTGCCTAGCTGTCAATGGAGGGACAGAAATCGCTCAAATTTCATTCAAAATATTTCTACTTGTGTTTTGAAGATGAATGAAAGTCTTGCTAGTTTGGAACGACATGATGGTGAGTAATAAATGACATAATTTTTATGTTTGTTTGAACTATCCCTTAAATATATTATTTTTTATTTATTTAGAATCTTTATTTAGAAATAGTGCTGCCTATTTTTTACCATACAATTTTTTAAGATGCATTTAGGGACCTACAACTGTAATGAGGAATTGTATGATTTGTGACAAAATCATTGAATGTTTCAGGTCTTAGGAGGCGAATAAATACCAAACAAAAGGGGGTTAAAGAAGAGGAAGAAGAGACAGACCCTCAAGTAAAAACAAAGGCAGAATCATCCACACCCGAGCACAGAGAACCTTTGAAGTGGTTTGGGATCCTTGTACCACAAAGTCTGAAACAAGCTCAGTCTGCTTTTAAAGAGGGTGCGCTCTTTTGTGATGTCTTCGAAAACTATGGCTGGCTAATGCTATGCTTTATTAGATCCCTCCCTGTGCATTATATTAAAATATTTTTGCTGTGTGGCTTAAATTTTTAGTATTATTTCAGTAATTATTTAGTATTTATACTTAACAGTAATTATAGTATTATTTATTTCAGTTATTTCAGTAGTATTATTTTTGTTTTTAGGGAAATGTTATTTCTTGTATTTTGGGTTTATTTAACTGTTAACACTTTATGTAATAAACCCATTTTCTTTCCCACAGTCATCACTCTGTCAGCTGAGATTGCATCCCTACAAAGTGCAATACTTGCTACAAGGAAAGAGATGCAGGCCCCGGTGAAGGAGAAACAAGAGAAAACAGAGAAGACTCAACCAGAAATAAAAGAGGAATAACAGTGACCTTGTTTACGTTCATCTATAATCTTTATTGGTTTTTTTTTATTAACCATATATAGACCCTTAGTTCTTAGAGCAATTTTGCTATGTTGAATGTTGAAATCACTCTTATTGTATAAAATGGTTAACCTAATAAAAATGTTTGATGAACCATGTTACATTTTGAGCAGAAATGCAGTTGAATCCGGACAAATTATAAATGTTTATATTTACTGCAGATTTGATTTGTTCTCAGTTTTTTAGAACCTGCTCTGCTTGTACATTTCATCCAAAATGCCATAACTCTAACAACTGCCATTGTATGTCGTTATCAGATCGTTAATTTAGTCATTTACATCAGTAAATAAAATAATTGTTCTAGCAGTTTCTATGTGGCTGAATCATACCTGTCAGATAATGAAATTTTACAGCAAATGTCTTCTGTTTCATTTTAAAGTTGGGAAATAGTTGTAAAAGGTGGCAAATCCATTAGAGTTTCATTGTTTCTATTAACGTTTTCTTTGTCATGCGAGCCATAAACTGCGCTTTATCTGAAAGCAATCCAAGCAGCAAACCATTTAGTAATCATGTTAAATGTAAATCTTCTACCCAGCACCTAAGTTACAAAGAAAGATTTTATTGTCATCAAAAATTCCTGTTGTAACCTAAAAACAATAACAACAATAAGACGTTTTAAACGTGAACTAGCATAAGTATCAGGCTCGTCCTCGCCTTCGTGTCTGTTTTAGCTACAAATACGATTATATTAAATCACTGCATTCAATTGGCTTAACGTTATGTACAAAACGAAAAATATAAGAAATGCCGTTCTTTATTGTGGTTACTTAATTACCCTTTTATCAAGTTATGGGTGCTTGTTCACGAATGGGATCAAAACAGACAAATAGAGGCGTAATGATAATTAAATAAATAAATTGTCCATTCGCTGTCCACTTCCTGGTGTTCATCTCAAAAGAGCTGCTAGCGGTTAGCGATGTTTACGGTCGGAACTGAGACCGGGCAAAATACATAATTTGCTCTCTACCGCAGATCTGAGGGACGTGTGTTGTGTTTTTATCGAGACGTGTAACGTTATCCGAGAAGACATTTTCACAATGATAGGACGATGCGATCAGTGTCAGATCAGGTGAACACGGCGCTATATCGGTCAGATTTCTATCCTTTTATCTTTATGCTGAGACGAGGCAATTCCCAAAGCTAGACTGATATTTCGGAAAACAAAAGAACATATCAGTTTGTTTTCATTTTTATTCGGTGTTGTTCTTACGTTGTTGTTCATATCGTGGAAGATAACAGGATCACTGATGGCGTCAAAATCTAGGGTCTCCATTCTGGATTATTTCAATATCGTCTGTGAGGGAGAAAATGGCAAAATTGAATCTAACTGCAAGGCTTGTGGCACAAGGATCCAGGCTAAACGGACAGTTACTTCTAACTTTGTTACACATTTAAAGGTAAGGGTTAATTTTGGTTTGTAACAGTGTTTTGCATCTAATAACGAGACAAGGAGATGTTTTTACCAATCTATATGACCACTTTAATACACTATTCAGAGTCCCCACAGTAATGGGAATTTGGGTCAATGACGTATAAGGATTTTCCACAGGCCAATTTTAAAATACTAAAAATAATAATATCTGTTGCAATTGTTCAAACATTAAGGATGTTGTGTACACCTAAATTCATTTTAAAAATTGAATTTAAGTGATTTTAGGGTTTTTTCATCTAGATGAATTGTCTCTAGCCTTAAAAAATGTCATGTGGTGCGACCGTGATTTATCTTAAAATTTATTAATTTCTTTAACATGCTTAAACATTATTTTACAAGTTCTTAGTAAGTAAAGTGTTTAGAAACCAAGTATTTGCAATTCTTTTGAGTTTTTGTAAATAATGATCTCATTTTTTGTTCTATAATTTCTGAGTTGCCTTCTTAATTCTAGTTAACAGACTTATTTTTCCTATAAATCACATAAAACTGATAGAAATGTTTTAAAAATCTAATTTCCTGAAGCATACTATATCTGTGATTCATATTTCAGCCACAGAAATAAAATATATATATTTTTTAATTTAATACAGTGATTGCTTTTATTGGTCGCACCACATGACAAGTGGTCGCTCCAAATGACATGAAGACCTTATATAGTTAAAAATCTATTTAAAGAGATCAATGAACAATACATTTTATACATAAAAATGATTTAAACCAGATTTTATACAAATTTCAAAGAATTTTCTTGAACATTAAAATTTAATAAACTTTTTTTTATAAAAATCACATCACAAACACAAGTGCACCATTTAATTTAACTTGACTTAGAATTTCTTTCTAACAAATAATAATGTTATATATATATTAAATAAAGATGTTTTATATTTTGTAAATGTCCTAACAGAAATGTATAAACATTTATTTTTGTGAGTGAATATAGCAACATTGCAAACATAAATGGACAACCTTAAAGGCGATTTTCTCAATGTTTCGATTTTGTAGCACCCTCAGATTCTAGATTTTCAGTTGTATCGGCCAAATATTGTTCTATCTAAACAAATCATACATCAATAGACAGCTTATTTATTCAGCATTCATATGATGTATAAATCTCAATTAAAAAAAATTGTGTGATGGATGTGACCCATATGACATTGACCCATTGAGTGGTTTTATGGTCTAGGGTTACATGTTAGAATGATTTCTGAAGGATCATGTGACACTGAAGACTGGAGTAATGATGCTGAGAATTCAGCTTTGATCACAGGAATAAATTAAAGTTTACTATATATTCACATATAAACCAGATATTTTAAACTGTAATAATATTTCACTCTTCTTCTCTACTCCGCTCTTGCTGCAGGGTAAGAATTTTTTCGCTTGGCAGGCAGTGGCATCTGGTAAAATAGATTAAAATAGTTTTATATAAATAAATAGGCAATAATAAATACACTACAAATAAATGCAGTATTACTAAACTGAAATTACATGCTCTATTTTTTTTTTTGCATTTTTCTCATATTGTACAAAGAGTGAACATAAACTGTCTGAAATATATTTTAAAAAATCCCAAATTGCATAAAAATCTTTTCCAAATGATACTAAAGTAAAGTACTTTTTTAAAATAAACCGTCGATTGAATATAAAAGCATAAAACTGCCAATCTAGGACATATATCTATCATTGAAAACAGTCTGCAGTGGTCGCACCACATGATATTTGGTCGCACCACATGACATTTTCAAATTCATTCATAATTTACAGGCACAGAAATGGCCACCAAAACAAAACAAGCTAGCTTGCCAAAAAAGGTCACTATGAAATTTACAATAAAAATATATATTTGTAGAAATAACTTTAATATTAATTTTTTTTGAGGTCACACCACATGACATCCAAATTTGGCAACTACATACCAACCATTACAAAGGTTTATTTTTTTTCCAATTTGAGAGAATTAAAAACCTGCTTGCTGCTTCCATGGGTCCTTGGTAAATTGGTTTATGATGTAACTTCCTGTGTTTGAATAGTTTTCAACATATAAGTCCCAAAATGGTAGTTCTTTGATGGTCGCACCACATGATATTTCATAAAATAGACATCATCGGACAAAGTTTGTTTGTATATTATGATGGGAATATAAATGCAAATGCTTAGAATTTTTTTAAAGGATCACAAAACATTTTGGAAATCATGCCAAATAGTGCAGTATATAAATTTGAATTAATTCAGAGTAATTTCAAAGATGTTTTCAAAACAGAAGTTATGGCCGGACGGTCGCACCACATGATGTTTTGACACTTTAAATAACAAAATAATAACAAATAAGTAAAAAGTTTTTGAAAAGTTAAAGTGAGTACATACATGAGAGAGGTACTACAAATATGCAGTATCTTTATAGGCATTTAAACCCATTTTTGCCTGAAAAAATGCAGTCGGACAGAAAATTTAGGCGTCACGTCATTGACCCATTTACAGATTAATACAAATAATATAAATATATTTTCTGGTAAAAAGTCGTATTTAAATATATATATATATATATATATATATAATTAATAGCCTACAGTATTTTATTAAAAGTGCTTTGTGCAATTTGAAAAAGAAAAAAAATCTGTTAGTCTCTAATGACTGACTTGAAAGCCAGTTAGAAAGTGTGGGAACCTTTGATATTCTGTTTGTGTGTGTGTGTTTACATATATTATGTGTTTGAGTTGTTACATAAAATGGGTTCTACATGTAATTTACCTGTATATAATCATGTCACATCCACAGCGCAAACATCAGGCCATGTATGATGAGTTTGTGAGGAAGAAAGATGTGAAAAGAGAGGCAATGCAGAATTGTACTGGCCCACCAAGTGGTCGAGTGATCTCTCAAAGCAGTCCTGGCATAAACAAGTTTGACTACAGTGACCCACGGCAATCCCTCATCTCGGAAGCCATCGCCAAGATGATCATCCGAGACCTGCAGCCGACACAGATAGTTGAATATGAGGGCTTCCGTGAGCTTCTTCAGCTCCTGGAGCCCCGATACATACCGGTACCATGCCATTACATACAGCAGCAGCTCCTGCCAGCCTATGTCTCCCAAGTGCAACTAGCTGCCAAACAGGCTCTAAAAGGAGCAGAGTCCTGCAGCGTGACCCTTGACCTGTGGAGAAGCAGCTTTGTGGATGCTGGGTATCTTGGAGTGACTTGCCACTTCATAAATGCAGACTGGCACATTAGATCCGCTCTTTTGGCTTGCTTACCGCTAACAGACCACAGCAACACTCAGCAAATACTCAGCGAGTTTGATGAGATCTCTGAATCACATGGTGTGTCTGGAAAAGTGTTCAGAGTCGTCGCTGACATTTCGCCTTGTGAAAACAGATCTCCTTTTCGTCTTCCTGGGTTCAATCTCATTGGAAACAGTGAAGAAGATGAAGGGGAGGAAGATTGTAGCGATGAAAAGCCAGGAGCAGGAGAAGCCATCAGTAGCAACGAGAACCACAAGTCTTTAGATCAGTGTCTTGGTCGAAGTAGGATAGACTGTTTTGCCCGATTGCTAGCTCAGTGTGTTAAAGAAGGAGTTTGCGCTTCCCCTCAGATATCACATGCTCTAAGCAAAGCAGCACACCTCTATAACTACGTAATTGCTACAGTGGCCCCTGAAAAACTTGTCCAAGTGTTTGGCTCCAATACCTCAACAAATTGGCAAAGACCCTCATCCATGGACAAGTGGAACACTCAGTTAAAGATATTGCGGCAAATGGTGGAGTCAATGGATTTTCTTGAAGACATTGTGGATAGAAATGACCTAGTTCTCGGTAACCTAGAAAAAGCGGTGCTGCGGGAGCTGGTTGAAGTGTTGGAGCCTTTCGAAGAGGCCTCAGACATGGTACAAGGAGACAAGCACGTGTCCATCAGTCTAGGCCTGCCCTGTGTGTTGGGTCTGCGCAAGCACCTGGCTGAGGTCGTAACCCACCAGTGCTCTGCGATCATGATGGGATTGTCTCAAGCTCTGGACCGCAGACTGGCAGGCATTCTTGAAGACCCTCTTTACATAACCGCCACCACCCTGGACCCACAGTTCAAGTTGTCCTGGAGCAGTGACAGTGACTGGCACAAACAAGTGCTGCTGGAAGAAGTTGGAAAGCATACTCCTTTGAGTCCACTAGAACATCACTCAGACGCCCAACCATCCCCGTCCAAACGCTGCAAGCTGTTCTCTTTCATTAAGCAGCGGCCAACCGCCCAGGCCAAGACAGTGGAGCAGGAGCTGTCCACATATCTCCACGAAGAACCCACAGATGAGGATCCACTACAATACTGGAAACGCAAGTCCATCGATTTCCCATTGCTCTCACAAGTAGCCAAGAAAGTTTTTACCGTGCCAGCAACAACCACATCAGTGGACCAGATATTTAGCCTGGTAAGCAAGACTCTCAGACCAGAACAATGCAGATTTCTGCCCAAAAACTTGGACACTCTGATTTACTTGAAGGCTAACTATAGGATACTTTGGTCCTAACTGCAAAGAGAGCTTTACAGAATTTTATTTTTACTGATATCAAACCAAACACCTCAAAAATACAAAACAGGAATTGTGCCTGATATGCATCTCACTATAAATACTGTAGAATTACCTGAAAGGAAGCAACATACTTTTGTCAGGAAATAATTCCTTTTTTTAAATCATGTACAAAAGGCTAGACTTGAATTATATAAAATGAACTAATTATTATGGGTAACCATTTATAATAATTTTCAAAAGTTCATATATATGTAATGAAAGTTATTATACAGTGTAGTTAACCTATTATGACTTTACTTCTAATCAGACGCTGGTTGCCTTTTTTTTTTTTTTTTTGCAGACTGCAGATTGCAGTTTTGTGTATTAACTTTTACTCCCCCAAAATGCAACAGGATCAGATAAGTACAGTGCACACTTGATTAATTGTCAAATATTTATATAATAATTCTCCTTCCATCAGCATGTTGTAGAAGCCCAGAAAAACCATTCTTGCAGCTTTCTCAGAACACATGTAAGAAGAAGAGTTACTTTTCCAGCAAAACATTATTAAACATTTTATGTATATTAGTTAGCTTTATATTTATTCAAGGAAAGAATTGGTCAAACAGAGTATACATTCAGTATATCTGACAAGCTTTTTGTTGGGGTTCTTTGTGTACAAAACCTACCCCCTAGAAAGCAGCAGGAAGGTTCGGTAATTGAAAATAATTACATTTCAGGAAATATGGGAAATTGGAGAACACTGATGGTGGACTGTAGACTCCTAGCTTGTAGAACTGAATGGAGAAAGCTTGTGGGATATCAAGAAAAGCTGGTGTGTGTTAAAGACTTTTTGTGTGAAATAAACTTTTCCATTTCAGTAAAAAAAACTGTTTTATCAAGCCTGACTTCTTGTCCTGTCATAACTGTGAAATACTTTGCCATGCAATACTATGCTAATTTGAGTGTCTTCATAGCGCAATCACATATGTCAGTGTGCGTGCATTTACAGTTATAAACGCACTTATGCTAGGTTCTGTATCTTAACAGTGGAGTTTATCTGTGCTTGTATTCTGATCATGTGGAGGAGAAAATAGCAAAAAGGACATTCAATCAATAAACTCAATTTCAAACAGATTTATGTGTTAGACGGGGTTGGCACTGCTGCAGTGCAGATATAATGAACATTTGTGAGTGTGTGTATATGGGATGTGAATCCTGATTTCAGTTTCCCACTCAGTCTCAGCAATACTACAGTATCATATTCTGGGCAAAATTGTACTTGCAGTTGCATTTTCTATTTGTGCACACGTCATTTACAACGTCTGCCAAATTTTAAATGGAAAAGCTAAGTCCATTTGACATGTCATTTCCATCATTCATGCAAAAATGGCACAGCCATATTGAAACAGCAGTAGCAATGTCTCCGACTGCAATTTCATTTTCTCATTGTCACGCTCCCTTCTTGCCAAACCTCAAAAGAAATTGCCATCCTGCCTATAATTGCAATCTCTACGCCAACAAAGGAGGCCTGCCTGTCATTTGCTGCGAATGTGATGTGTAGGTGTGTTTGTGTGGTAAATTGGTCAGTTTTATTTGCTATGAAAATAACATTTAGAACTGGCATACAACAGGGGCATACAACATCCATTTTAAATAAAGATATACAGCGACCTCAATAAGCATAACATATTTCAAGCGATTACATTTTAAATATTATTTGATTTGACAAATGGATGCTAGTGTTTAATTCATTTAAAAACTATTTTCTGTAATGCATAACAAAGAGCTTATAAAATTCTAAATCAAATTTATGCTGCTTAAATTTTTGCAAATTTCTGGCCGTTTACACAACATCGTTTTCAACTAAAAACAAACCTTTTATGCGTTTTGGCCATTCAGTTACACCACAATGGGATTTGGAGGCCTGAAAACGCAAGTTTTGGAAACGTTGCCTTTATCGCCGCCGTGTAACTTTCAAAAATAACTTCATGTGCGTACGTACATGTTCAGTCTATTTGAGTGATTATTTACATTGTCAACTACTGGCCTGGCTGGAGTATGTTGGTAGTTGTTTTTGCAGATCTGTGTGAATGTGGATCGTTTGGACAACGGTGTCGCCAGTGCACGAAAAACCCAAAGGATAACTTTTCGGATTTTAGTACATCCTTGCTGTTTAAACGTAATAATGAATATTGGTTAAAGCAAAATAAAAACACACTGACGCACAGAACAAAGCTTTGCTTTATTCATTTAAAACTAAACATTCAGATTATTTTACGTTCTGAATGATTATTTTACATTCAGATTATCTTTCAAACTATATAACTATTTCAATAATACTGTATTATTAATAATCCAGGGGTGACTTGAAAACAATTTTGCTTTGCTATGGGATAGTTGTGTCACCAAGTATAGTGTGAATTTCTGTTAGTGCTAAAAAGATACACATGAAAATGGAACCACTACCACTTCAAAATGAAAGCTCAGATGCACCAAGTAAAATTAATGAGGTTTTCTGCCCTGGATCAGACCACAGAATACCTCCAAAATGATGGTTGTAGCATACCCATATTGCACTCCAGTTATCAAGAGTTTAACATGCAAAAGGAGATCAAATAAATCTTGCATACTGATATAATTAAAACGTCCCAGAGCGGGATCATCAGTACAATTCAGACCAGATCTGTTTGAGAAGCAGCTCTTCAGCTAAAAACTGTGGCTCAGGGAAGGTGAGATTGTATTTTACACAATGTGTACGTAGACTTTTATAATGGACGATACAAAACTTCAGCTACTCAGATCTATATTTAAACAATTCTTTACTTATTAAACATTTCTGTTCTTAGGATGTGTATTCATACAATCTGCTCTTAGGATGTGTATTCATAAAACCTTTATAGCAAAGGACTTAACATGACTCTTAAAATAAATACTCTAGTAGCAATGCACCTTCTTTTTATGGTCAATGACCATTGTAGCCTATAGGGCAGAGATGTGGGACTGCTATACTCATACAATTGCTGCAGTATCATGTACTATGGATTCGATTGGCATTCTACATTTGCTAAAAATGTGAAGTAGCCTATAGCCTAAATCATCATATCCAATAACATAATGCACTGATCTTCCGTTTCTATAATTGATTAATTGTTATGGATGAACCAGAATATTAGCCAAAAGATGCTGAGCAGATTTGTGGAATTAAACATGTGATGGTAATTTATAACATGGAATAACTCCTTCTGTTTCACATAGTATTTTTCTTAAATGGCAAGCAGTACATATACACAGTATATACTGCGCAGTATTCAGTTAGTAGCTATGCTTACACTTTCACAGGTTTCCCGGCTCTGGAAAAGGTTCAAGAATGTGTACAAAAGCTTTAAGGGAACTAGTAATGACTCTAATGGGTAGAGTGGGGATATTTTAGAAATTTCCTAAAATTGGATTTCCTCCAACACAACTCTAGTATCTGTAAACAATTTGCCAATGGGTAAGTGAATGCATGCATGGAAAAAAAGTTTTTCAGGGACTGGCCAGTGCAATGCTGACCTTAGACGACTTTGATGTGAGGGTCGTAAGGGCCTAAATTGAACTATGGTATTCACTATGTGAAGAGACTGAGTCATTCTGAACTCCATGCCAAACTACAGTTATTAATAAACTGCCTGTTGTTGGTGTTTGAACAGCAATAATATCCTTATCAGACGGGGAAGGAAATGCCTGGTTATATACCTGGTTGTATGTCAGTGCTCATTACGTATTTGAAACTGAGCTGGAAAAAAGGCTAGTTGAAGCACTTGTTGAGCAAATCTGTGGTGTGTTTAAACAAGGAATATATGAAACCCCCCCTCTTCATTATACTTTGGCCTTTTTATAGCATGGAAACAAGAGAGCAGCTGCCCTTTCAGTCTCTCTCCCTTGTGCGTTCTCTGACCAGCTCCTGTTTGTGACAGTGAGTTATCTTTATCTTCATCTTCAACTCTCAGATTCAGCCTGTCATCTCTCTGACTCACCCACACACACTGAATCAACAGCACCTCTCACACGCTCCCATCTAGCAGACTCATTTCATCGCACAGCTAAATCATGGCGGACAAAAAGGACAGCAAGACTCCCAGTAAAGGCAGTGTGGTGAAAAGGAAAGAGAAGAAAGTGGAGAAAGTAGAGAGTAAACCTCAAAAGGAGAAAGAAAAGAACAAGGTTAAAGATGAAAAGATGACGAAGAAGCCAGAGAAGACACCAGAAAATCAGCAAAAAGATGAGGAGATGCCACAGGGAAATGGGGAGATAGCAGAAGGAGCCAAAGGCCCCGTCAAAGATGAAGAGTTTGAGCTGGAGCCTATGGAGCTGCCTCCATTTGAGATCATTGTAGGGTACGTCAAACATCTTTCTTTTATACTAACTGGAACCCATAGTAATAGGCCTATTTCAATCACTCAGTGCGAACAGTCATGCACCATGCAAAAATAGCTTTTCAGTTTTCACCGGGTCAGTAGCTTTAATGCGGCAACTAGAAACCGTTTCTTGTCTAATCTCCTCCATATCATTTTGCGCATATGATCTGTGTCTCTGGACCGGAGCAGACGGTGTGCGAGTTTCGGGGACTTCATTCACCCCAATGAAAAGCATATTTACTCTGTCTGAATCGCTCCCTATGCAGAATAGTGGATGGTGAAACCATTCACTATGTAGAAAATAGTAAATGTGTGACCGATTTTAAATCATTGATCCAAATTGGGGGAAGTGAGACACTTTAAGTTTTGAATGCTTATATCTTCCAAACACAAATTTGGTCGTTGTTTTGGAGCACACTAGCTTATTAACCTTAGTACTAGGTAAGTTGCTAAGTACTTTAAGGTACAAAAATGTACCTTTAAGGGGTAGAGTATCTTTAAAATTCACAACAGCATGGTATAAATGTTGTGTGGAAAAAATTGGATGTCATCTAATATCAAGGTAGAAGAATTTTCGCTATACAATGAAGAAAAACTGTTTCACATTTTATTATAGGCTCAGCATGAATGACACTATAATTGATTTTAAGATTACTTCACTTAAAATGCATTTTAACAAATTACAACGTAATGATAGACTAGAACTTAATGCATGCGTAATTGTCACTTGTGACAAATAATACTTGGTGGGATCAACTCTGACAACAGATACATCTCAAATTCCATCCTTCTTGGTAACAATGTGAATTAGACCAATCCATGCATTGCTTTAAAGTTTAAACCCAGAGATTTTTGGAGTTTTTTTTTCTTTAGGATTTATCTATGTGCTATTTAGTGCAATCAATTTCTCATTTTTGTCTTTATGATTTTTCCTGTCTTTGCCACAGACTAGTAGGCGTATCCCTAAACCATAATGACTAAGTATGTGGACACTGCCAATTAATTAACCAGTTTTACTATTTCAGCTACACCCACAGTAACAACAGTAGCATAAAACCAAGGATACAGACAATCTGCAAAGATTAACAGGGCAGAAAAGCTCTGTGACTTCACTAAACGAGGTCTGTAAGCTTTAATGAGCCTAATGTGGAAAAACTTGACCTGAACAAACCCAGACCTGAAACCACACTGGAATGAATTGCTCACATGTTTTAATGGGAACAAATCTCAACAACCATGATCAAACTTAGTGCAAACTTATCTGAAGAGTAGAAGCTGTTAGAGAGGACCCGTTTACCATTAAGGTCGGTTTTGAAGTTCAATGTTCAGCAAGCGTGTGGTGTGGTGTTTAAGTGGCCAATGACTTGTCTTGTAGTGTCATAAATGTTCAGCTTTTGTCTTATCAGACAATCGGTGGTTCTTCCAAATATCACAATTAAACTCTAGATCTTATAAGAATATATTTCAACAAAGAGCTCTATACAAGCCAATTAACTAACTCCCTTTGAGTCAGTGTAGTCCTATTAGTGGCCACCCAAGAAGAAACACTTCTTACCAAAGTTAATGGACTCTTTGTTTAAACACAGTTTTTTTTTTTTTTTTTTTGCCTGATTTTACTGTAAATAAGAGCCAGTCTACAAATTTTGGCCAGACGGAAATGACAGATTTCACAGAACATCGCATAGTTTCTGAAAGGCACAGACTTGATTTCATCAGTCGGAAAATATGTGTTTGATATTTTATAACACGTATTATTTTCATGCGTCTCCTAGCAGAGAGGTGCATGTCTCTACACGAGTATCTTGCTTTCAGAAGAACTAGTCTAGTAATGTGTGAATCTCAGTATTGTATGATGCCCAGTTTTTCCTCTGTAACCATTTACAAAAGTGTATGATGCCTAGTGTTTTAAAATTGGTTTGTGTGGTGTATTTCAGTTCTCACAATGGAATGTGTGAGTTTATGTCTTGGGGATTGTTTGCACTAATTGCTAAAATTCTACTGAAGTCAGAAAACAGGAAAGCTCATAAAAAATTGCCAGGCATTACTTAAGACACAAAATGTCCTCCTTCTTCCCACAGAGACAGAATGAACCCCACCTTCTTCAAGTTCCAGTTTAAAAACGTGGAATATTCTTCCGGGCGCAATAAGACCTTCCTGTGCTACCAGGTAGACATTCAAGGGGACGCTACAGAGAAAGACGGCCTCCGTGGTTACCTGGAGGATGAGCATAAGGGTTCACACGCTGAAGTGGCCTTCTTTCACCAGGTGCTGGCCTATTACGACAAGTCCCTCCAGTACACAGTGACCTGGTACACGTCCTCGAGCCCTTGCGCAGCCTGCGCCGCTAAGCTTATCGAGATCTTGCAAGCACGCAAGTCACTGCGCCTTAATATCCACTGCTCCCGCCTTTTCCAATGGGAGGAACCAGAGATACAGGCCGGACTTCAGGCGCTAGCTAGGGCGGGATGTAAACTACGCATGATGAGGCCTTTGGATTTTGCGTACGTCTGGTCTACTTTCGTTGAGAACGAGGAAGATAACTTTGCACCATGGGAAGACTGTCAAGATAGCTATGAATATTATGATGAGAAGTTGTGTGATATTTTAAAGTAGGATAAAGAGACGCTGCTGGCCTATGATTAAGTAGCAAAGGAACAAGCTGCTGTTTATATTCCTATTTTATAGAGTAAAATTTCAGGAAAATCTTTAGAAGCCAAACATCTGGGTGTAATGTAAATTGCAAGCATGAAATTGATTATTTTCCGGTTAATTCCAAGTATATTTGCAAACCAAAATATAGTATAATATGGTTAAATATTCTAATTTTGTCTAATATTTTGAAATGGGATAGGGCAAAAAGCGGTGTAGTGAATAGTCTCCTTGTATGTTAATGCCATAAACATGAGTCAATTTCCAATCATGAGTACATTCTAAAGACAGCGGTATAAAGGTATGATGTTTTTCAATTCTGCTTATAATATACTAAAGTAGTGGATCAAAACTGCACATTTTAGCATTGTCTCATTTCGATGGCTACACACTCTGGTTACATTTGTTTCCAAAGTAAGAAAGAAACGACAGTATTTATGCCTCACAAAGAATAATTTTAGTTTTTATAATGGTTGCTTCACTGACACGATAGAGCCTCGATGATGCCGAGTCCGACTAATGCGACCTTTGGAGGGCATAGCCTCTAAAATGAGTTCAGAACTGCATACTAGTCTTACCATTTCTGCCATAGAAAGACATGGTAAAAGTAGAATGCTACTAAGTGGTTTGAATTAAGCAAAAACTTTGGAAAGTCTCCAGGAACTGGTATACTTAAGAATCAATTGGAAATAATAATTTCAGAATATTGGTGAAATCATTATTGATGGGTCATTCATTGTGCATTTATATTGTGGTACACTTAATTAGTAATATTTTACTGGAAAAATGTGAATTTGAAGACATACTGTAACTTTATTTACAAAATTAAACAATTTCTTCATTTTAAGATTAAAAAGAATGTCCAAATTCTCAGTATATATAAATAGAACAGTCTTTTAACATTATTTAGCACTAATAAACACCCACCATACAGAATGTTGTGAAATTCCATTGGAACAAAAAGCAAACCGTTGACCATTCTTTAAGAACAGTTAAGGAATAATATGAGTTTCAGACCTGCTGTGGTCTAGATTGAGTACACAGTGATGGAGATGTTTGTGTCCTGGAAGACTTCTGTAATAATGGAAGACACATTTTCCCATTTCAGTTTATCCAGACCACAGCCAATCCTAGCACGAGAAAATGACTTTAGTTACCGCAGTCTATTCAGCAGAACAATAAAACGTCATTTAAAAGAAAAGTTATGCAAAATCGGTATTGAAAAATGCAATTATCAAGCTATAGTCATTTAGGTAGAGTCATATTAAAAAAATAATTACATTTAAAATCAAAATCTGCATTTAAATTCAAAATAGCGATATTATTAAACGTTTCAATGTACCGAGGCATGGATATACTGTTAACGCCATTGAACAAGCAGTGTTCCCTCATAGACACAAGGCTCTTTCTGAGACTGTCATAGGTGGGTTTTTGGTTGTACTTTTCCTTTGTGATCTAATGCAGGGAAAAGGTGGAAAAGGTCAATTTTGATGAACAAAGAAAGCTATAAGTCCAAAAAACTCTACTCTCATCCTAATTTATTTAGTAAAACAGAACAGATGTGAATTAAAGTGAAATAAACGCAAAAACCCATCTTACCAGGTAATACACAAAACGATCAGATCTTTTAAGCACTGCACATTGCCCAGGTTGCTTCTCTACACAAAACCGAAGGCAACAAAGAAAACTGAGAATCAAATGCGTGTGATTTGAGTGCTATAGGAAGTGCACTTGTCAGTAATGGTAATTCAGACTCACTCTGAGCCAGAAGCTCCTCCTCTCCATGAAAATGTTTCTTGAAGAGCACAGCGATCCCTGCTCCCATGCGGCAGTCTTCACTGATGCAGTGCGCCAGGGCATCGGTGGACGGACAGGTGAACAAATCTCCTCTCACGTGGAGCAGCTTCCATCCTGATCTGCACGGGAGCTGCAACAAATGAGGAAGAACATTAAAGCCTGATTTCACAGACAGGGCTTTGATTAAGCCAGGGACATTTAGTTCAATTAGGACTTTTAAGTTACTTTTCTAAAAGTGCCATAGAAAAAAATATTACTGATGTGCATACTGAGACAAAACAACGGCACTGACATATTTTAAGATAAGTCAGTGCATGTTGCTGTAAGTTAAAACAGCTCAAACATGCATTCTAGTCTGAGACTAGGCTTAAGCCTTGTCGGTGAAACCTGGCAAACATGACAAAAATCACTCCAGTCACCTGTCAATTGCATGATACTTTCTCTCTTCTGTATTACAGCTAAGTTGAGCCAACACATTTAAAATAGGTTTTTATTTTATTTGATTCATTTTGAGGATAACTTCCAAATGCTTTTGCAGGGGCAATATTTCGAAAGTAAAACAGTAAGACTCAGCCAGTAAAAAAACTAATGTTATTCAAATGAAAACATCAGCCGTACCTTCATCTTCACGATCTTGTCCATCTTTGACGTTTGAGGAGGGACTTCACTGTGGGTATTTTTCCACTATCTATTGTTTGTTTTTAACAGAAAATGTAATTAATCATTATTTAAAGTCACAATAGATATATAAAAAACAGTGACAACCTATAACTTTTACGAATAACTAAGGTGCGTTACAAACATAACATGTTCCAGTACTTCCCTGGTTAGACACGTGTCGTGTGTTGGCTAGAGCTGGTGGTCTGATAACTTACCGCAACAATAAAGCCGAATGTGTGTTCTGTGTCCCTTTTAACAACGAAAACACTGGTTTGGTTTCACTCCTATGGTTTCACTTTAGTTTGGCTTGGCTTCTAGCTCAGGTTTAAACATATGTCTATGAGGTTTAAATTGGTTGAATTGAAAGGCTTGAATGCCATCTAGCGTCATGGAGTGGAAGAGCGTGCTGTCTAAATATCCATTTTAATTAAAAAAATATTAATTCATATTTTATATCCTAAAATGGGCGACGTATCCTGGGGGATACAAACATTTGAGAGGCAGGGAAAGTGTAGGTCTCATTTCTTGGTTTCATGTTTAAAGGGTGTTTGTTGAGAAATATCTTGTGACTTTAATACATTCTCACGGGCAGCATTTTAAAAACAACATGGCCACTGTAGTGGAAAATCTACTTGCCTTCAGATAAAAGTTGTTATATTTCACATATTTACTATATTTGGAGGGGATTTACATGTTTAAAAAGTTGTTGTTACACGTTAGCTTAATATGTTTGTGTTGAAAGTTTATTAATTTAATTTTCACATTATCATGTCCGTATTTGTTTGTATCTCCCAGCATGTGGCCAGTTTAGAGGTAGAAATTTGTTATGATACAGTATTAAATATGATACAGTAAGCTATAATATATTCACAAGTAACTTTAGGCATTATGCTTATTGTTCAACAGAATTTTACAAAGAATGTTTAGTTAAAGTAATGAGAGAATAAATGCTTGTAAGAAATGAGAAAAAAGGTAAAATTAATTCATAGTATATTTAATAGCCTATATGATTGATGAGTTTTATTTTTGAGAAATGTACAGATGCAAATACTTTTACAATTTTGACCTTCAAGAAGAGACTTTACAATATTCATATATTTACAAACATCAGATATGCCCATTTGTAACTGATGGCTGTTATTTATAAACAGAGTAATATGCTGCAAAAAAGTTAAACGAATACATCTTATCTGCAAATAATAGATCAATATAAGTGAGCAATCCACAGATCCTAGCAACAAGAACAAAAGAAACAATAAAGAAAACATGTATATATACATGCAGATAAAGTGAATTATTTTAGTCAAAAACAAACGGGAAATAGATACCATGGTAAAAAAAAAATATATATATACATATGATCTAAATAATTTGTGCTGATGACTCAAGATTCACTTTCATGAACCATGACTAAAACTGTAGTTGAGAAACTGTAACTGTATATGTATATGTCGGCTGATTTAAGGGTTGTTTTGGTGATTTTAGAGTTCAGGAGTCGGAGCTGCGGCGTCTCTGTTCACTGATCCAGTCCCCGGGGTTAACGTCCATTTGCAGCATCTTCATGACCCACTTGTCACGTCGCGCCCCGTCAATGAACTCGTCCAGAGACAACTCCCCTGTGGACGCAGGACAGAAATCAGCATCAGCTGCTTTAGAAAGGCTGCCTTAAGCACAGGCTATATAAAGAAGCGTTTGGCTATAGTCCATTAGTGACTATCTAGAAAAATAATGAATCATAGTAGGCTTTACCATCTCCGTTCTCATCCACTAGCTCAAATATTCGGTCCACCACCTGATCTGGGGTCAGTAGGTTACACTCCTCATCAAGTTCCCCATGGCAGGCTTTCTTTAGTCGGTATATTGACTATAAAGGTAAAGTAAAAGGTGCCTATTTTAATCATAAATGCATAAATGTCTTCTATACAGTGTTATATTATCTCTGGACACAAATGTCCTGATATCATCTGGATGAATCCCATGTAAACATCTCACTTTCCTTCTTTTTTCTTCTTAAATCAAATAAACCACTGAAGAATTGTAATCTCAGCTGTTTTAATGTTTAAGTCGGTGTGATTGACAATGGGAAAAGGACACGGGATGATTACCTCCACAATCTCCTTGAGCTCTGTTTTGTCGATGCAGCCACTCCCATCCTTGTCATACATTTTAAAAGTCCATTTCAGTTTGTGCTCCAACTTTCCTCGCAGCACTAGATTCAAGGCTGCAACGTATTCCAGAAAATCAATAGTGTTGTCCTACGAAAAAATGAATGAGAAAATAGGAATGAACTGTCAAAAACATGCACTCTGAAAAAATGCTGGGTTGTTTTAACCCATCTTTGAGTCAAATATGGACAAACTCAGCCATTAGGTTAAATGTTTACATTGCATTTTTAACCCAACATTTGGGTTTCTCCATATTTAACCCACATTTGGCTTAAAACAACCCAGTCTCATTCATATGTCTCTATATATATATTAGCCTATATATAGGAATATATATTATATTTATAATACAGAGTGTATACTACAGAGTGTTTATACCAACTTTGTGAGGTAACTGAAATTGAATCACTTACCCCATTTTTATCAAAAGCACGGAACATGTTTTCTATGTAATCTGCCGCTTCCTGGTTTCCAGTTACACCGAAGAAGCTCTTGAACTCGTGCATGAATAGGGTTCCACTCGGACATTCCACCACAAACTTTTTATACCACTCCTGCAGTTCAGCAACATCAATTTCTTTGTCGTCGGAATCCTCACTGAGTCGTTGACCCATCACGAAAAGATGACAATAAAAAACACAAGCTTCTCTGCTGATCACATCTGGCAGTTTCCCTTTCCTGGAGTTCTCTCTGATTCAGATATTCCAATAAACCTTTAAGCCTGACAAGTTGATGATACAACACTGAATACGTCTGATTTAGGACACAAACATATATCCCCTTTAAGTTAAAATTGACCAAAGTGTAGAAGAAACCTCAACCATTCAGCGAAGGTGCTCTACTGGCTTGGGATTCAGCACAAGGACTATTTTGGGTCACATGATGGCAAGAGATTATTCATATCAATCCATGTCTGAATCAATTAGCTTGAAACAAGATCAAGAGCTTTGCTATAATTCAACATTTAGTACACAGAACGTTCCATTCCTCAGTTCCTCAGGTTCTAGGGCTCTCATGTCTGAACATAAAACACTAAAATAATAGGTTTAAGGCCACAAAAATACAAAAGAATTCTTCCACTTCCTCACTGAAAGTTGAATAGGTGAAAATACATTTAGACATATTGGTCCCCGCTCTGTGTCAATGAAGGTCTTGCACAGTTAAAAAGGTTAAAAAGTGTAAATAGGTTGCATCTGCAATTAAAGGAAAAAAAATGAAGCGAAACATGTAACGGGTCAAAGTGTCTGAAAAATGTTTACATTTTACTGGTAGTCCACTGTATGTATGTTTGGGTATAATATGTAAGTTTACTTTATTTTGCTATCCTCACATAAATGAACTATAGTGCCCTGGACCCACTAGTAAAAAAAATATAAAAAATGATATCTGGTGTCTGAAATTTTTTTTGTTTGAAAGTATATTCTATATATTTCAAATAATAAATGTGGTACATTAATGATATGCCTTTTTATATTTTGGGTCTCTTGTTTAGCTGAGAGCCTGTATGGGGAGAGGATCCCTGGATCATGAAACCCCTGCCCGACTGTATACATCTCTCGATCACTCAAGCCTGTGAATCATTCAGACAATCTGAGTCATAATCCCTTCTACCCTCTGCTCTTACTATTTATAGTTTTTCAAAAATAGGATCTAGAAATGTCTGGCCTATTTCATAAGGGTGCTGCATTTTGTCTGGACTCGTATCACTCCAGATCACAATGAAAACTAAAAATCCAAAAAATAAAGGTTCTTCGTTGGTTCTTGGTTCGATGATTTACCTTTAGCATCTATGGAACCTTTCCCTTGCACAAAAGGTTCTTTTTAGAGGAAAAAGTTTCTTCAGATTATTAAAATATTCCTCACACTCAGAATAAATAAAATAAAGTGGTTCCTTTAAGAACCAATAACAGGAAGTCCAAAGGCTTAATTTTCAGCTATGGGTGATCAAGATTGCATAACCTTAAAAAAAGGATTATATATGTGATATTAAAGGATATAAATGCAACATTGATGGTATGATTTCAATATTCTCGTTATATACAGTATGCAGTGAAGTGCCTGTCAATGCTCGTTATATACAGTGAAGTGCCTGCTTAAACATGTACCTGCATGTCAACATACTTACTTTACAAAAATAAACAAAGACTATATGCATGTCAACATACTTGTCATAGACAACCATTTGTGTTCAAGAGCTAGTTTAACAGGCTACAAGGTGTGTGTTTTGTCACTACGTGAACTTTAAAGACCTTTTTCAAAATGCTGACTGCATGAGGATAAGCTCCTCTGGCCTAGAGGTATCCAGGGCACTCATAGCACAATTACTAATCTTATTGGATTAATTCAGAATACAATAACAAATATGGAGAACTTGTACACACCACATTATGGGTGGATAATATTGCAAAAGATATCATATCACAATTTTTTTCAGGAAAATCATGCTTCAAGATTTTATCACGATTCTTTTTCATGTTGGTTTTACTATTAACTAGTAACACAATATATATATATATATATATATATATATATATACTATAAATAATGGCAGAAATTTAGGCCAAAGCGGTGAATCAAAGTGGATCTAAAAATCTTTGTCATTATTTTCTTAGTTATTAAAAGATAAGAACAAACATACACATTACATAACACATATAATGTACAAATGAAATAAACAGTGCTTTATTTTTCAAGGAATTTAACAGAAGCATTCAAGAAAGAAGGCCAGAACTGCAACTCATAGAATGCACTGTAGAACAATACTATTTCTTCGAAATCAGATCGAGGAGACATTTTGATTGTTATTAAAACTCTTTTACTATTCATTTCACTCATGGATTACTTATATTTTGCTTTTGTCCCATTCACCAGGTGACAAATCTTTGTGAGTGTTATCTGAATATGATTAAAGTCATAATAACTCCAAATGAAGCAGTAATCAGGGTTGACTGATGGAGAAATTAGCACTGAGTTCACTTTGAATGTGCTTAATTACAATTACAAGTCATACGTAGATTGTAATATCTTTACTGCTGAGCTGTGTTGTTTTTTATATAACATTATTCATCAATGGTCTAATCTGATATGACACTAAATCAGTTATCATGACACAAACATGGACAAGAGGAGAAAACACAAGTATAATTATACATTTTCTATCATTCCACTTTACAAAAATAAACAAATACTAACAGATGCCCCTGGGTGTCAGTGTTACAAAGGCTACAGTTTCATACGGTGATTGGTTGGTTGATCGTTTTCATAGCCTATTTCCTTTATAACACAATTCATTTACACATAACATATAGCCTATTTATAATTGCTCGGATTAAAGACCATAAAGTCAAAATAGACTTGTGAGGATTTAACATAGGCTATTTATTTAATGCGATTACTAATGTGCTTCCCTCCTCAGAATGGCTACATCTCTTCTGACGAGGGCCTGCTTTTACACCGGCATTAGTCAGCGAGCTGACCGCGGGTGTCAACATTATGCAATCAAAAAAGTTATTCATGGTCCTGAATTGAGATTAATGTCTGATCCAGTTGCCAGGGCAGTGAATAAATATTTTGCGTGTCTAATAATCCCACCTCCACAAGCCCCTCGCCCAAAACACAGCAGGGAACCGAGAGTAATATTTCTGAAGTTACATCTCGCTCCTTTAATCAGAATGAGTAATAGTGATCCACAGCACATACACACTGTGGGGAAATTAAAAATCAGAAATTAGGATCAGTAGCTACGGGCTGCTGCTGTTTAATTGGGGTATCAGCAGTTACCTGAGAACAGATTCAAAGGCTTATTAAAACACTTGTTTACTGTTAATTCATTTTTGATGCAAATGAATTAATTATTTGGCAAGGTCCTAATTATTTGTGCAGCCTGTTTAAAATACAAGAATTCATTATTATTATTATTCTAAATATTAAAGAAAGAAATGAGGTGGGGAAAAACAAAAGACCAGTGTCATTTACACAGCCGCCAGACAACAAAGTCGTAAATCAACCCTAACAGGCGAGGCGAGAGGCGTCTTGCCATGAGTTTATAGTGACATTTGAAGATGTTCTGGTTGTGTTCATCCAAAATCAATAGAAGTGACTTTTTGGGCCAATTCTTATCTTTGTTTTGGAAACCAATCAATAAAGAAAATATAAATCACAATTCATTTGGTCCAGATCACACAGAACGCTTTGTTGCCTGCTTTTGTCAATCGACCAAAGGCAGTTGCGGGTGTGGTCCTGGTCAAGACAATCTCCTGAACTCTATAGGCCTACTGAATGTCTAAATGGGAAAGAAAGGTGATTTATGCAATTTTGCTCAGTTACTAGGATTTTTATGCACAACCATTTCTAGGGTTTACAAAGAATGGTGTGAAAAGGGAAAAACATCCAGTATGCGGCAGTTCTGTGGGCGAAAATGCCTTGTTGATGCTAGAGGTCAGAGGAGAATGGGCCGACTGATTCAAGCAGGTTGAAGAGCAACTTTGAAATAACCATTTTAAAAAAAAAGCAATCTTTTGACTACGTCGTTGCCAGTTGCACCACATCACACATTAGCGGCCCGCCAGTGTTGCGGTAACGCATTACAATTAACTAGTATATTTAAATTTGCAACAAAATATCTCAGTAACTTTTTCAAATAAGTAACGCAAGTTATTTTGTTTTCCCATGAATTGACAGATACGTCTTCAGTACCCATGTTGAGGGAAATCGGGAGTAACTGCAGAGGTGTTGTGTGCGTTCTGTATGATATTACAGATGTTAAACAGGATATTATAGTTCTACAGTAAATGTGAGAAGGCATTTAATCATCTCCCTTGCACAAAAAACAGACTTGGCATTCCTCAAAATGAATAGGAACAGTGAAAAGTAAATTCAGAATAGTAACCTGGAATAATTAAATGTTACATTACACAAATTTACATTATGTATTTAACCAATGTCTTTGCTGCAGAGCTTCAATGATCCAATACAACCATAATACGCAAAAATGACTTTAGATAAACGTCACGTTATTTTGTATTGTATTTTTTTATTGCTGAAGAACTTTCTTGTCCTGCATACTTTTCTTCTGCAATCCAGATTAAAGATTATTAACTAATTAACAGTTACATTTTTAGGGAGTAACGCAATAAGTAACTTTCCTCAACACATTTTAAAGGGGTATATATATATATATATATATATATATATATATATATATATATAAAAAAATTAAAAAATTGTACTTAAGTACTGTACTCAAGTAAATGTACTCCGATACTGTCCGGCTCTGAGTAAAAGTACTATATTTTTTCTTTCAAATGTAGTGAAGTTAAAGTAAACAAGTGCTCAAGTAAAGTTATATATATATATATATATATATATATATATATATAGCTTTACTTGAGCACTATATATACTGTATATAGTGCTCAAGTAAAGAGCACTATATATATATATATATATATACTGTATGCTAATGTGTGAACAGCTTGTAAGGAAAACGAGACCTTTTCCGACTTCCTATAGAAGCCTGAGATTGATTTTTATGTGAAGGACTCCACACATTTTTGCTGGCAAAATGAAAATGATTTACATGCGCTGACAAGAGCCTCTCTTCCATGATTCGACACCTGATAGTTCATAATCTAAACTGATTACTTATACTGAACTTAAATACACTTTTTGAGTATCTGTACTTTACTTGAGCATTATTTTTTTCTGGAAAAATGTTTACTTTAACTTCACTAGCTACATTTGAAAGAAAAAATATAGTACTTTTACTATACATTCCTGTCAAGGTCCTTGAATAGAAATTAGTAACGTCAGTCAGGGGATGATTTTAGTTTCAGGGGTTGCATTTTGAAAGTCGGGTTGACATCGGATTGATGTCAGAACCCAAGTCGGAGTGACATTGGATTTTGGTTGGAAATGAAAGTCGGGTTGACGTGTTAGCCAAAAAACTTTAAACAGGGCACGATTTGAGGGACCAGCCATTTGGGTGTCTGAAACCATTGTGGACGTTACTGAGTGCACTTATTCAATCTCACATTGTGCTAAAACTTCAAACACACACTCTGGGGACATCAGAGACTAATTTTACATATTGTAAAAAAGGAGTAAAATGCCCAGCCCTTTAAATGCAAGAATCTGTGTGTGCGAACAACACCTTAATGTCAAGGTAGAAACATTGAACCACACAGGATCACATATGTTCAAAGAGTTTATTACAGAATCGCAGTAGAGGCACTACCTCACATATATAGGCACTGAACTACTGAACTGGACTCGCAATTGTGTGTAAACACGGTTCAACACAATTCAGATTTAAATCCAAACCATGTCAACCCCATCCATTAAGTTTCAAGTGAAGTTCTCGTTGTGATATGCAGCTCAAATGTCTGCTAACATACAATGGGGGCTTTAACCGGTGTCAAGAGATAATCTGTGCATTTTATATATTGCTTTCAAACTCTACTTCATTCTGATGACAACATTAAAGGTGCTGTAAGCAACTCTGGGAATACCACACTTGACAATTTAACTATAATCTGACATATATCACTAAAATAGGCCTAGGTGTCCTGAGAAATCACAATCACAAAAATATTAAATAAAAATCAGGGGGTGTCCCGCTTTGAGCCATTTAGACTCTATCCATAATTTTGACCATTCGTGGCTTTGCAAGGTGGAGAAGTTTCAACAGATTGTGTGGTTTAAAATAGCAAAATACTGGAACACTAGCACTTAGAGTACAGCACCTTTAATGAAATAGTTCACCCAAAATATAATATTCTGTCAACATTTACTACACATGTCGTTTCAAATCTTCTGTGGAACACAAAACAAAGATATTTAAAAAAAAAAAAAAATCACTTTTGAGTTACAGAAACTGTCTGGTTACTGATATTCTTCTAAATATCAGAAAATCGGCTGAATGGATTCGAAAACGGTAAAACCCAACTGTTTAACTCTAGGGGAGTGGTAAAATGAGCCTATTTCCAAAATTTCTTTCTGTCATTTCAAATCTGAGTAACTTTCTACTGTGGAACACAAAATGAAGATATTTTGAAAAGAAAATCACTTCTGAGTTTTGGACCCCAATGACTTCCATTGTATAGTTTTCAAAATGCCATCTTCTGTGTTCCACAGAATAAAGCAAGCAATTCAGGTTTAGAATGACGTGAGTGTAAAAAATTGTCATTTTTGGGTGAACTATCCCACTAAGACAGAAAAATTAGATTTGTTTTTTAAAGCTTCAATCAACAGCCATCAATAGTCTAGTTATGAATAAATGTTGTCCAAACTCACACAGGTTCATGCCTACAGTGCTCGTACAACATCAATTCTACTGTCCCCGTAGTTCTTCACAGAATAAACGTGGATAACAGTTTTTCAAAGTGTAACAACAGAGGTTGAATCAGTGTGTGGTCAACAACAGTATGCTAGAGGGTAAAACAGCTTTCGTTGTGTGGATGAGTGCAGTGTAATCTCATGAGACATTGTGAGTTCCCCTGGGCCGACCGTGTGTCTCTGCTCATTTACCTCAGTGTGAAACAATCCTTCATGGCAATATTTCAGATGTGGAAAAACAAGCTAAAATTGTATTTTCTGCTCAGGGATAAAACCAAGACTTATCAGTCTAGATTAGCGACTATGCAGTGAAATAATGTGGATTTTGATTGATTTCTTTATGGAGATTATGAGTCAGAAGCTGAAACGCGCTGAGTATCGGCACTGCATACTGAAGACTGTCAGAGGCCATCAGCTACCACTAGTACACCACTATATGACGGCACAACATCATATTGAAACAACAGACCATCTCTACAGCTCCTCAGATTACAACATGACAACCTGTCACCTCACAAATCAATAAAACAAACCCACGGAACACTGAAGAAACTGCATTATTTTAACAACCCACCACAGAGAATAATATTCAGCACATGGAGAAACATGAAAAATCACCGCAAAACAACTGCTACTTAGAGTTTAGGTGATCATACACAGCGTTTACTCCAAAGTGATTTACAGAAGGGTAAAAGACGAAATGCATTTGAACATTTTTGGACAGTAAAAAAAAAAAAGCCCAGAGTTCAAAGATTTGAATTCCCTAAAGTAAATTAAAGCACTGTGGAGAGGTCTGAACTGAAAAGACACATTGGAAATAAATACATTTCGCACCTCTAGATATGAAAATATGAGCTCACTTCACCCACTAAAGCCCCTCATCCGCCAACTCTCAAGCTCGTGGTCAAATGACTTCAGAAAACAGCCTGTTTAACATCTTGAGACATTTTTCAAGAGTAAAGATGTTTCCATTTCGTAGAGGCAGCAGAAATGAGAAAGCGAAAAATATAATTTGTCATGTGTCTTGTTGCAGAATTCGTAGACAAGAAAAATAGAGGTATATTTCTCTCGGCATTATCTCTTTCCCCCAGATCATCTATTCACACATTGTCGTCTGTTGCAGTGCTGGAGGGTGTTTCAGATTCGAACCTCTGTGACATTTAACCTCATATAAAGTGAAAATGAACTGGCAATCTGAGCTAGCCAGCAGCAGAGACTATTAATGAGGCCAAACTCCAGATAAAATAAAAATCTTCCAGTCCTCTGTTGTCTGTGAGCAGGACGACTGTGATGGCTTCATACAGGCAGAAATATCCATCTATCTGTCTGTTTCCACTCTGACATGATGCACAAGGCAGCTGCCAGCCAGCACATCATCACAATTATTGGGGAGGCGTTCATCTGAAACAAGTATGTGGATTGTATGTGTTGTTCTTTTGATCCTGATCTTTCTAAGAGGGATTTTTGACATTCATTTCCCACTATCCCAACTAAAACACACAAACAGCCATTTGCACTCAAACAACGGTCAGTATGAATATGTATGAACGTCTTACTGTGCCCTCAGGCACCATATCGCCCAATAACAACAGGTCAGCAAACCATCCGAGACAGAACGTGATGATAATCGGTGTGCACATATTTATACAAGGACATGCAGACCAGATCGATCAAACCCATACTGACCTCTCATAGTGAAGATGCACCAGAATTCAGTGCATCCAAACCTGTCGCTAGTCATTGTGAATTCCTGACACGCATAATTTCTGTTTTCGGCATGCTAAATGAGCTCAGTGACCCGATACCCTTGTCAAATCATCAGTGGGGGCAATGCAAGACCCTCACAGGGCACCGGTGAACAAATAAAATTAGGCATATGAGGTCTACGTCAAGGGTTTTATATCATCACCAATTACAGGAAGTGAGCCCTCTGTCTGCCGCCACGTCCCCTAAGAGCAATCATCTCATGTCCTGTAAATGGGTCACTCAGAAACAGTTTATGTGAGCCTTGATTTGCAACTACATTATTTAATTAGCTCATACCCTGAAGAAACACAGCTTCCAATTAAATATGAATATCACTGCCTTGATCGGCAAACACATTTCCAGTGTATTTAGTGTCAAATAATTTAGTGTCCAGAAAAAGGAACACTTTCTCTTTCTCCAAACATTTTAAAGAAATGTTCTGGGTTCAAAACAAGTTTACTTAGCCCAAAATATAAGTTTATCAGCTAGTACACATAAATGTTTACAGTAATGCACTTGGGCAGGGCATTACCCCAGGATCATCATTAAAAGACAGCGTCTACAGTGTTATAAAAATGGAACATTTTATATGCTAACATAAATCTAAAAAAGGTTTTATTGAACTTTGGTGTTCAGACATACCCATAGTACTATATGTGAGTTATTAGTGTTTGGATGATTACATGACATTCTAAAACAATGTCAGTGTTTCCACATCATTTAACGGTAAATATTTTTACGTTGTTACATACGATTTCCATTAAATGCTGTTCTTTTGAACTTTCTATATAAGTTCTGGAAAAAAATGTATCATGGTTTCCACAAAAATATATGGCAGCGCAACTGTTTTTAACATTGATAATAATAAGAAGTAGCACATCATCATATTAGCATGATTTCTGAAAGATCATGTGACACTGAAGACTGGAGTAATAATACTGAAGATTAAGGAACAAATCTTTAAATAATTTACAAACTGATAATATTTTACAACGTTACTGTTGTTTTCATCAAATAATTGCACCTTGATAAGCATAAGAGACTTCTTTTAAAACCACCCCAATATTTTTTTTCTACAGAATAATTAATGTAACCACTTTAATAAAAAACTCGATACAAAAATAAGAACATTATTGTAAATATCTATTTTGCTCGTTTTTACGAACTGATGGACGAATGAAACTTATTGTCTCAGATACCGTCAAGCTTAACCTGTTTTGAACCCGGAACATTCCTTTAATTAGCCGGCACGATTACCCACATTCTCATCCAATTACCGTCTCGTGCTACAGTGAGGCATCAGTGTTTTGCCATTATACGAGTTGTTCTTTCCACTCGTAACAATGCTCTATTTCACACGTTCATGGCTGTGAAGGTACAAAAACACACACGTACAAGCATCCGCCTCCCACTTCTGAAGTCTCGTGTAGAAGATTCTGTTTGTCAATAGTACAAAAAGTGCTAAACATGCTACCTCAGACGGGTGCTGCGGCAGCGTGGTGGATATGGCCCTAAGTTCCTCTTTAGTTTGCCAGAAAATTACCCTGCTTTTATACTGAAAAATGCAGTACAGTTCAAAGGCGCCTGGAGTGTTGCGTGTGCCTGTCTGTGTAGGTCTGCACATCTATATCTCTCTCTCTCTAAATATATACATCAATATATGTATATGTTATTCTAGAATTATGTATTTTTTTGCTTGTCTTAGATGTCCAGTCCAAAACTCCTCAGTCCAGAGGTGTGGAACACTGTCCAAGCCCCAGTAGATTGTCTCCACTATTCAAAGTATAAAGCTGATGCGTCCTCTGAGGGGAAAGTCAGTGAATTTGTCAGAGACACACACGTCAACCAGACGTCAGTATGTGTGTGTGTGGGTTTGCTGAGCCTACCCTCTGAAAAAGTACAGCATGTGAGGATTTGTTATAGTTGTCCAGTATTGGGTGTGCATGTGCGTGTCAGACGGTCTCTTTCAAACAGAGAGCTTCCACAGCATTGCTGGGACCCTGGGACACCCCTCCGATGAGGAACAGCATGTTGGGGGTCTGAATGGAGGCACAGGAGCAGCGAGGGCTGGGTAACGGGGCCACGGGTTCCCATCTCCTCTTCAGCTGGTTATAACTCTCCACTGACGCCAGCGGGGACGGCTGGTTACCTGACAGCACACAATACAACAGAACAAATCATCGTCACGATTCACAAACATATAAAAACACACAGATATGTACTGAAGTCCTCAAAATGTGTAACCGAGGCATAACGATTTGAATTTAACAATGGCTTACTTTGTTATAAACCATAAAATGTATTAAATGTTGCCTTTTCATTTAAAAAGGGGCTTATACCATTTACCCTGGATGTGAGGCAATCTATTTGCTAGCGCAGAGGGTTTCAGTGTTTGGGGGTCCATTCAAATCTTTTGCAAAATGTATTTTTATGCCTATTAAATAATAAGTTAAATAAATATTATTATTATATGATTACTATTAATAAATATTACATTTTAAATAATATTTATTTTAAATGAAAATAAATACATTTTAATTCAAAAGATGAATTTTGTACTACTATATCATTTTTATATTACTCTATAGGAAATAGAAAAAAAGATGATGTCAAAATTTAAAATAATATTTCCAGATAATATTTTTAAAATAAATGTTCAATATTACATATATTTGCATAAATTTATTTCTATATTTATACAGTGTCCTCCACTAATATGGGCACTCTTGGTAAATATGAGTAAAGGTGGCTGTGAAAATAAATCTGCATTGTTTATCCTTTTGATTTTTCATTTAAAAAAAATCACAAAATAATAACCTTTCAGTCGGGGGAAACTTTCATTATAAAATAAATGTTGTTTTTCTGCAATGCATGTTTTAGTCAAATGTCCTTAATGAAAGCTGATTTTTTTTTTTTTCAGAAAAAAATCATAATTTCATCATCATTTTTTATAATTACATTATTATAGATTATAATTATTATACAAACAAAATGAACTTTTAGCAGTATATTTGCTAAAAGTTCATTTTGTTTGTATAATAATTATAATCACATTAAAATGTAGTCTTTCTCTTTTGAGAAAATGCACAAAAAATATTGATGACTCATCCTGCACTACACATTTTTTTGTCCAATCAGAGGATCTCTAAAATGAGAATGCTCCTCCCCCTATACTACCTACAATCAGCAAAGCATAATCAATGGCTGTTCTGAAAACTATTGGCAATTCAAAATAAGGGAGGGAGGGGGTTGCTGGGGGATGGGATGAACACTTCAATATTTCCCTCCCACATTTTCTGATTCAAGAAATATACAGACCAGAAAACTGCTTATCCAGATGTCTCCCTGATGTCAAAGCCTAAAGTTAACATTTCCACATTTGGTATTGAATTTCTCAGTGTGAACAACCTATATTAGCTGCAATAACAGAATGTAACGCACATTAGACAGATTCTCCAGCCATTCAATCAACACAACACCCTCTCCACATTAGCATACAGCATCCACAGCGGTCTTACTCGCAGCACACACACATTGCGGATGTTTCTCGCAGATGAAGCACTTGCCACCTGGTGGGTTTTGGGACTAAAACAGGTTTGAACAGGTGGTGCCATGCAGATTTCTTCAAATTATGTAACTCCTACAGATTCTGTGGCTTATGCTTCAGGAAACTTTTCCTCTGATGTTGCAAAATAAATAAATAAATAAATAAAAACGAAGTTTCCAGGTAAATCCTAGCACTCACATTGCAGTTGCCGTGAACAGCGAGCATGTTCTCATTCTCCCTCAGGGTCAGTTAGACCAGGCTGGGTGTTTTCTTTCTTTTGCCTTCGATGCGCAGACCTAAATCATCATGAGGTACCTGACACTAAGTTTCCATGGTTACTCAAATTAAAGTGCAGATGATATGGACGGGCTGGTGCGGTAACTACTGTAATCATAATTTCCTGGTAGAACAAACAGTTGGATGAATCCGGTCGCCGTAATCAAAAATGTCACGTTGACTTGAGCTCTGGCACTCGCGTCGAAAGCTCCTGCATGTTGCTACGCATCCTAAGCCGCTCTTATGTTCACACAAATACATATTTGTTAAGGCAGATTTTTAGAAGCTGTTTTGGCAAAGGTTGGATTTATCTTTGCTGAATGATTTCACTTCCGAGGCAATTCTCACCTAGCCTGGCCATTGAGAATGAAACGTGGTCTGGAAACCACATTTTCTTGTCTTTGAGGTGTGGTGTACGAATGCCCAGAGCTGTATTATTGGGTGCTACAAATGTCTATCACATGCGCCTGTACGTAACTCATAGCCAATCGGGTCAATGATACCATATGACGTATGTAGAGCGACAGAAAATTAGACGAGGAAAAAGATGATGGGTCAGAGATTTAACGTAAAACTTCAAATAATAGCCGAGTCCCAAATAGACGCCTGTCTCTTTTACACGACTGGTGTGGCTGCAGGTTTGGGTAAATAAAAGCCGTGTCTGTTTTTTAGGTTTGGGTTGTTGATCTTCTAAAACCGCCAGATCGTCCGCTTTTTGGCGGCCGCCAAAGCCAATTTTTTTCCCCGCTAAAGCCTATATTGATCGGTGAGTGATGTAGAATAGAATGACTGCCATGCTTGGACTACATTTTCTTTGTTGTTGGTCCAGACTCTGAACCAAATGAACCAAGTGAACCGAATTACAAGTGTGAACACAAACCGAGCATGTATTTCAAACAGGCAAAATGCCATAAAAGATCAGATACAATCAAATTACATCATCTTTTGCGGTCAAAACTGAATGCATCCACACAAGAAGCATGCACATACTGGCAACCACTGAACACAGAAATGAAAATCTTAAATATTATTGTTAAATATACTGTAGAGCTAAATCATAAAACAAAATTTAAATGTTAAATCTACATATTCAACAGCAACTAACAGCAAATGGAGCTGAAACATTAGCAGGATTCAAAGAGATTAATAAATGTTAAAAATGAAATAAATAACGCAAATCAGATTTCATAGGCTTTGTTCAAACTGTACACAAATTTGGTTTCTAAATCCAAACTGACATTATGTAAACTAATAATCCACTAAAACTAATGTTTTCATTTAGTCAAAAACTGAAACCAAAACTAACGTTTGTGTAATTATATTTGAGTAATTTTGCTGTTCTGGTTTTAGTGTTCTCAGGTGATAAATTAAAACAATTGTAGTTAAATTATTTGGCAACAAACCGCCTCTTGATATTTCAGCTGAACAAATTTGACATATTACTACCCTATTTAGGTCAAAACTGAATCATGCATGTAATGCATAAAACTGTCAATCATTCAAAATCAGTCATACCAAATGGCAAAAGGGACAGAATCCGAATCCGAATTGTATTATTTCTGATTTTGACCATTTTTGGCAACATGTCACGTAATCATCCAAATATGACAAACAAAACAGCTATTGAGTAAATCAATCCTAATTATTCTAATTACCTTAATACATTTACCCAGGAAATATTTCTGATACTGCAGCAATGCCTAAACTAATGATCATATATGGTTTAACAGAGTACATTTGAATGAGGCCAAAGATGATTGAGGAGCAAATCATCTGAAGAGCAATTTCCCAAACATCATCTCCAATATGGACCTAATAGCAGCCATTAATTCCGGAACGACATGAGGAGCTACAGGGAATGAAGCATCTCTTGCAGTTATATCATTATATCTGTGTGTGTGTGTGTGTGTGTGTAAGTCTGATTCTGTACAGCCTGAGTGTCCAACAACGGCAGCTTAAAAGAAGAACAGAAGAAAAAGAAGATGAAAAGACTAAACCTCCACGGAAAGAGACACAAAAATAGCTCAGAAACAGCACCAGATAAGAAAACGAAGAGCAACAGCAGTGACTAAAAACAAGTGAGGAAAAGACACACCTGAAACATGACATGAAGACATGAAGGGGGGACGGGGTAGAAAGAGGTAACAACTAAAAGAGGATAAATCGAGCCGGTGGAAAAAGGAAGTAGTCAAATGTGAAAGTTCTCACATTCTAATACACACACACACACACACATCCTCCATCAGCTCCTGAGATGCCTGAATTCCGTCTATTTCTAGACAGAAAAAGTTTAAATAAAAATGTGGCATGTATAATCTGCAATGCTCTGCCCTAAATATCATTTTTTGGAAAGATGCAGAAATGTCTCACCCACTCTTTGAGCTGACATTTATTGAAGAAATCTCTCTTTCTCCCTCTAGTAATTCAGCCACAGACAAACAGACTGAAAAAAATAAGGCAGTATTTGAGACTGATATTCAGAGAATCTTCACTGGAGCGTAAAGAGCCAAATGAACAAATCATTTCATTGAAAGACATGTCAGTCTCGGGAACAGGCTGTCATTGAGCGATTTCACATTTTCATTGATTCACAATGAAGCTACGTTTGATTCTTTGACTTTCCAATTAAAACTAGTTCTTCTTACGAATGAAACAAATGGAAAAGGGAATGTTGACCCAACTACACGCTAAAAAAAAAAAAAAAAAAAAAAAAAATCAATGCAAATTACACAGATTGCTTCCTAAGAGAAGGTTGCAGAGTTCGTAAAGTTGTTCAGATGTGGCCTGTAATTGTTGTCGATGTACTGTGAGGTAGATTCTTGTTGCTAGGTGACATTAGTGTGCAGTACTTACTCATGGCTGCACATAAAGACCTGACATAATGAATCCATTTGCTTGATATGGCATTTTATTAAGAGGCCGTTTCTGCCGCAGGTTGTTCTGAAAAATGACAGTCCTTGCACTGTGTTTTGTTGATTTCTTTCCCGGTTTTCTAAGCTCAGTTGATCCTATTTGCATAATCTATTCAACATTGGCAGTTACTTACCGAGTCCGCCCGCAGCGATGACCCGTCCACCGAGACAGCCGGCTGAGAAGTCCGCCCGCTTCTCTCTCATGCGAGAGCCCCTCGTGGCCTTCAACCATACACCTACACACAGGTGAAAACAACCAGGTTAAAGGTTAAAGGTCAGAGAGGAGGTCAAGATCACACAAGGGTTATTACTGTTCACTAAAACTAAAATCATGACGACAATAATATATATATATATATATACACACTTTTTTTTTTTTATCCCAGCTAGTTGCCAAATGCAACATGTCTCATTTTAGTTTAGGTTTAAGTTGAGGTATTAAAGAAAAACCTAAATAAACTTAAACTTTAGACAGTAAGAAGAAAAAGAGCTAAAACTTTCAAATTAAAACAGAAAATAAATTAAAAAAACTATAGTACAAAAAATGTAATAGAATATCAATAACAGTGAAAACAGTGATAGCAGTGAAAACACATTGAAGGAGTCAAAGTAATATTTTTTAAATAAAATATATTTATTTCTTATCTTATATTACATTTGAATTATAATGGAAATTATAATCAAGTATTTTATAGTTTTCACTATTAAAACAAATATTTCATTCAATCAGCACTGTCAAGACATCATCATGGACTTATTCACAGAAGCACCATCTTTGATTTTTTATCAGGAATGAAACCGTCTCTTCAGTGAGAGGTACTGTCATTTAATGCATTTTTGGATTGTTCTGCAGACGAAACACAGCAAAATATCTGCTGAGACAAACGAGCTGTGGAAAATCCTAAGTGATCTAGGAGCTTCATACAGCTTTTCATACTTGCCATGGCGCTGCTCTGAATAAGGTCTATTCCTGTGACTCCAGTTCTGAGCAATCAGTCACATGGCTTTCATGCCTTGGGCCATTTGCTCAAAAACCTCCAAGGTTTCAATGCACACTGTTGGCAGATAATGTTTTTTCAGGGGGTGCTTTGCTAGCTGAACACCAGTTGTTGAGATCTCTCCATGTATTATACCTCCTTCACAAATCAATATAACTCCAGGATATATCCCTGATGTACCAAAAAATTAGCCAGATGGGCCATGTTGCTCGTGGGCATTTGTCAGCATGTGGGCACCGGTCACAGTTGACCATTAAAACCATAATAATGACTGCAATAAAAAAATAAGCAGGCACTGAAAGTCAGAGTTAGAGAGTGTTCAGACACACACAGTCGATCTGACCTGAACTATACAGACGTCTTGAGCGATGAACAAACAGCTGAGATGTCGTATATCTCACTATTTTTGGCGTAACATGGCATGCACACGCAGTCTCCAAAAAAATCTCGCTGCATGACACCATCTGCCTGGAAGCAAATACAGTATATGCCCTCACTTATCTCAGATGCTCCCATAAACATTTCCACTCACTCTTTCTGAGGGCACTTAAAAACTCTTCGCTCCATTTACTTTCTTTGCTGCAATCTTCAGCCATTTCCCTTCTTTGCAGTAACCTTAAGCCACCTGACATCTCTTTCAACTATTGGGATCTCTAAGCTCTTCAACATTTTTCAATTCATCCCACACATTCTCTCTTCTGCCTGCCTCACATACAGAAATGCAGTATGTTTGAAAAATACTCTATAGGTCCTCACCTGCACACTCTGACCTGTCCTCATTGGACTATATCTCCCTCTATCTCAAAGTATCAGGATGATGTGCTGAGGATGAGAAGTCCTTGACTCTGAACTCTGAAAATGAATATCTTCCAGTATTGTTTGACTCTGAGGACTTTAATAAGGGTCATAAGAAAACCAATTTTCCTTGATATTCTGAGGCCACCAGTTTGTTCTGGTCTTCAGATTTGATTGGCTAATATGAGTGAATTTTAGTACTAATACACACAGTCCACCAGGAACTTTACATTGTTTGTATCACTCCGCAAATGTCTGGTATATTTAGCTCTATATGCTCAATTACAATAGGCCTATAGATAATGGTTGTAATATTAGTGGCTTTAAAGCAATATATTGTATAAAGTGGTATAAATAAATGTGACGTGACGTGACTGGATTGAGCCCAATCGCACGTTCTTTTCTGCTGTCATTTCTGTAGTGTTTATTTTGTTATTGAGAGGAAAGCGCAGCACAAATTTCTCTGTCAGTAGCATGAGCTATTACTAACAGTAGCTACTGTATACTGCTGCAAATGTGTTACTTCTCTTTACCTCTAAGCAATTAACGGAAAAGAACTTCACTGGGAGTATATCAAAACAAATCTTTGCTAACCTCTCCACATGGGTATAAGATTCGCAACTTCATTAAAACAACATTTGAGCTCCATAACCTTAGATCCATTACTTATTTCACAGGTTCTCGAACCATCATGTGACAAAGGGATTGAGCGAGCAGCCCGTAACGTAATCTTCAGAAAGTCTATGAGACTATGAGACTAAGCATTAGTGCTGGGGAGTTTTGAGACTCATCTGCATGTTAAATTAAATAGTTACGCTAGTAGGTGGCAACAAGGGAATGTCTTCATGAGTGAGTCAGAGAATCATTTATTTAGGGATTCATTCAGAAACATGATTCATTTAAACACATTGATTCATTCAGGAACTGAACAAGGTACTGCCTATGAGTAAGTCATTGAATCATTCAGTTAACTGTTTAGTCCAAACACACTAATTCATTCAGGAACAAAACTTCCTTCGCTTATCAAAAAGATGAATATATGAAGAGTTCAGATGCAAAAGCCTCTAAGTGCCATTTGAAATTTTCTTCTAAAATGATCGTTTTTATCAAGCTTGTATATTTAAGTTCAGTAATTTCACTTAAATGGCAATGAAGATTACTTATTAATTGTCATTTAAGTGAAATTACTGAACTTAAATATGCAAGCTTGATAAAAATGGTCATTATAGAAGAAAATTTCAAATGGCATTTAGAGGCTTTTGCATCTGAACTCTTCATATATTTACATACCACTCCCTTTTGTGAGTATTTTGTACAGCACATTTCACAAGATGATCCTGTCAGTGAGGCCCGCAAACATGACAGTCACACAGCTCTTAGATGGCAGGTTTTTCTTTTACTGTTTGGGTCTTTTTTGCTCTTGCTATCTTCTAACTTTACACTCTGACACACAGTATTTCTTGGCACAATAATTTTACGCATATTTGGTGCCACCTATTGTTCCGGGTGTATGGACATGTAAAAGTCTAGAACCTGAATATAAGACAACCTCATTTTTGAGGGTACTTCTGTACCGATGAGGGTACAGATGTACTTCTAAGAAAAATTTGGAACAATACAGTACTAATAAAACTTTATTAATAAAGCAGTCAAAAACAACAAAAAATCCAAGTCAGAAACAATGAGAAAGACATAATTGTCTTGAATCATCTTCTGCATTTAAGCTCCTTCTCTCTAACAAAACAGATTTGCAGTGGAACACTGAGAAAGACAGCGAGAGATCAAAGATATAGGAATAAGCTTTTTCAGCCTGTCTGTTTTTGCCATCACACACACGCGCACACACACACACACACACACACACAAAGACAAAGCATGGAAGTTAATGAAGTGTGGCGGCCCAGTGTGCCCAGTCAAACTGTTTTTTAGAAGAGAGAAAACCATTTACCATCTCACTAGGTACTCATTCTAATCTCATTGTATGAGATTATAGCACAGATTAAAGGAGAACAGTAAAAAGAAGAAAAGATTTGGATGGATTGAAGAAAGGAGAAATGGTTTGAAACCACGAGATAAACTGGTTGAAATTGCCAGTGACTCCATGCTAACAGGAGTCTGAGTGTTTGTCTCTGTCTCTCAATGTGCATGAGACACAAATGGAGCTGAATGAGGGTCAGAGTTCACAGATAACTCTACATCACGCAGGCATGCTCAAATCTGATGGTTAATGTAGTCATGTGTATAGCGATGATGGCTTGTCTAAGATCTCATCTGTATCGCATTTCATTCTCAGATTTACCTGCATATATTTCTGAGTCAATTCTGAGTTCTGATTCCAGGCCATAGCTGTTCACATTCGAAAGGTCAAACCTTCAAATTTCCCTCCCAGCAAAGGTCTGAACAATCATAACATACAGTTCACTATTACAGGAGCAACTATGTTGTATAGCTGTCACGGTTCATGAATTCACTGCCTCTCTCTCTCTCTCTCTCTCTCTCTGTGTGTGTGTATATCTGCTGTGTGTGTACATAGACTCACCTAAAGGATTATTAGGAACACCTGTTCAGTTTCTCATTAATGCAATTATCTAATCAACCAATCACATGGCAGTTGCTTCAATGCATTTAGGGGTGTGGTCCTGGTCAAGACAATAACTGTTTCTCAATATGCGTTCTTGTCTGAGTTCTTGTGGACTTGAGAACGTCATCAGTCACGGCCCAAGTACTGTTCCAATTCAAAGTTCACATCTAGCCAAGTCCACTTCAAATCCCCGGATGTGTTCTTGATCCGCCCCGTTTACCGAGGATGCATCGAGAGGTGACTTGTGAGGTGACTCTTTTTCATCGTCTCTACAGTCGACTAACAGTCCACTAATTGGAGAGCACTTCCCTAGATAAACATATGATGGAAATCTATTCTTATCTTACCATCATGGGCTCTTAATTTCGAGAGCTGAACATAAGAAAGGAAGATAGCAAAGTCTAAGAAGCACTGGACATTCCCTTTGAACTGCTGCTTTAGATTACCTGTCTGCTTGCCTGCCTGTGTGTCTGACTGTCTGTCGACCTGTCGCCTGCTATTGAACCAGACATGCACACAGCTGCGCTTCTCTCTGTAGCTAAAGAGCAGGAGGTGTTGCATGATTGACAGGTCTGCAGGCTCAGAACAACGACCCAGCTGGAGATGAGACCCCGAGTTTATTTAAAGCTCACAAATCAATCTTTTCTTCTCTTTCTATTACACTCACATGTGCGCACACAAGCATAAAACCCTCGTTCTGATCTACACTCAGAAAAAAAAACACATTTTTATGAGTGTTTTCAATCTACAGGTGTCTGCCTACATATTTTCTTCATTTATTTTAGTCATGACTTCAAGTGCCTTTCAAGTTCACTCGGCGGCCATTTTTGCAACACCTGGGCAGCTCTTTTTTTCGTGCATG